TTCACCACAACAGGCTTGCCAGCTGGACACAGGTCTCCAAGCTGCTGGGCTGTGCTCCTTGCCATCTACATGCTACACTGCAGCTGCATGCATGCATGAGCCATTTATTGGCCAAATTATCAGTCACATTAGGCTGATTTCCGATACAGTCAATTTTCTTTATATTGATGCTGATCCAACATTGGATTGATGTATCACTACACCTCTGGCAGAAGGTTCTGGTGGAATGTGCTTAGGAAAAAAATAATTGGATTTAATGTTACTTTGAACATGGAAAAAAAAAATACCAGGAAAGACTCTTAGAGGAATCCTTATGAGAATAAGGTAGTAACTTCTTAGACTCGTCCAGATTGGAAATACAAAATAAGTTTGTGTGAATGTTAATCATTAGCGTCACAAACCCATCTGTGGGAAACCCCTACAAACCCAAGTTTCTCCGTACTGTGCAGATACTTGCTGCAAGGAACTCCCTATCCAAGCAAACCTCCATTTCGCTGTGCTTATACCAGGGTCTTATTTGTTGTGAAGGAATCTCTTCCAACCCCAGGTGGCTACCCCGTTTTTGGATTGAGAAGAAATTATAGGTTCCTTTCTCTGTAGAAAGAGAGTCAGCCTGGATTATCACTTGCCTGGAAGTCGCCCCTTCCACAGGCAGTCAATAAAGAGACAACAAAAGGATTTATTATAAAAACAGAACAAGCATGAGAAATCAGTAACCGTACATTGAGATTAGAGACAGAGATATAAAAGTAAATGAACAAAAGAATACTGGAGCATTGACCTGTTTTTACCCTGCACATTACATCCAAATATTCAGTCCTCACCGAGCTTTTTCAGAGAGAGAACGTAATCCCTGCCTCTTGCATCATGCCAGAGCTTTTTGCATCTCTCAGTCAACTTGCTTTCCCAGCAAGAACCTCATATGCCTTTTTACCCAGGAACACTGAAGACAAAGCCATGCTTTTGAGGCTGTTTTTATGTACTGTTGCCAGTCTAGCTATAAACATGTATCACCCCTTCACTTCTTGGGGGAGAGGGGGAGCCCAAGTCAAATGCTAACTCACAGACATTGGTTCTTTTAGATGTGAACAGTTAAGGGCTCCTCAAGTTAATCACTGCCTTACTGACACAACCTTGGCTATAATATAAAGATGTATCAAAATTACTTTCATATCAATTACTATAACACAAACTATTATAAGAACAGTAAAACTGAACACAGCTTTGCACTGGCAACAGTTAGTCTAAATGCCATAAGAATAAATCTATTTGGGAGAATATCCATGCATTTCTTACAGTGAAACCGCAAAAGTAAATGCGTCTTCAAGTGAATCCCTGATGATTAGATTTTCTTAGAATGTCAGTCATTACATAGATGAGTTTTCAGTGTGCTGTAAATAAAAGGTTTGAGTGACCAATGGAACATAGTATTTTTGACTGGTGTTTTTTAAAAGCTTCTGTTGCATCACACCATCTCATGCAGGGTGGGTAACAGGTGTGTTGCTCACCCTTCTTTAAGAATTTTCACTGACCTAATTTTTCATCCATTTAACTTGATCTACAGTAATAAAATGACTTGGAAAAAGCCCAAATGAATGAGAGAAAACCAAATGTTATTTCATTCCGTGCAACTCAGCCATACTATCTTACTTTTTTGGCCAATGTTGTAGACAAAAGGTCAACAGCCAGATAGCTTCAGTTCCTTCCATCTCCCATAACACCACATTTTAGAAAGGAAAAGACCTAAAGTGTGGGATGGGAAGTCATGTCAGGCAATCTGGAGTGGAGAGTTGCATGGGTTTTAGAAATTGTTTTTGATGACCAGTTGGACCTATGGTCTAGGAACAGATATTCAAAGAGCCCGAGCCTGAATTGATTCAATCTTTGCAGGTTAGTCTAAACTGTGCAGCTTAAACTGATTAATAATTGGACAGACATTCTCTGTTAAGTAAGGAAATGCAGACACATGCCTAGAGTGGCTCAAGCAAGAAGCCGGGGGGTGCTAGAGCATGCCTGCCAGCCACTGCCAAAGGGGAAGGAAGAGAGATGCCCTGCAAGGCTCTCACTCCTCGCTGCTGGAGTGAAGGGGTATGGCCAGGCACTAGCTGGAGCTAGCGCACCTCATGGGATGCCAGCCATCAGCCCAGGAGAGGGGGAGGGGCAGCTGCTGCCAGACTGAGGGGTGGGGATAGGGAAAAAGTCCTTTTTCTGAAGCAAGCATGTATTGAACGCAGCAGTTTGCAAAGCATACAACAGGGAACTACCAAAAATCTTCACCTAAGCTAAGATGCAGGCCAGTAAAACACAGCATGCACACCTTAGTCCAGGGGCGGGCAATTATTTTGGGTGGAGGGCTGCTTACTGAGTTTTGGCAAGTCATCGAGGGCCGCATGACAGGCAGCCAGGGGCAGATAACTATAAATTGTCTAAATTTTTTAGGGACCCTGTGGGCCGGATAGAATGGCCTGGAGGACAACATCTGGCCCGCGGGATGCATTTTGCCCACCCCTGCCTTAGTCTAACTGAAAATGTAAACCAGGAATACAAGAAAAAGCATTGCATAAGTCTTACTAATCCTGTGTCTCCTTACAGCTGGGCATTCAGAAAGGCTTTGTTTAGGTATTCTCATCTTTTACAGGTTCTGTTTTAAAATGTAAATGTAGCTCTGTATTTGGTGAAGCTGTCTAACCCCCTCCCTGCGTGGCTGCAGGCAAACCATGGAGATGCGGCTGGGGCTGGCAAACCCCAGCTGTCATCTGCAAGATTTGCCAGTGGGGGAAATGGGACAGAGGGAGGAATTTGCCTCAGGGGCCATGGCAGGCCAGAGTTAGGCCACTATCTGCTCCTGCTCCAGCTATAGAGCAGAGGGGAGGGGCCAGCCCAGTTTTCTGGAGCAGAGAGCAGAGCCCCGCCCAGCCTAGAGAGCATGCTGGGATGTTGGAGATGTCTGGTGTAACTTAAACCAGGAAGGGGTCTGGGACAGACATTGCATAAACCGGTTTGAGCCAGTTCAGTTAGGTCTGATACTGCATTCAACCAGGTTTACCTGAAACCGGTCTTGGCCATTTTCAAACTGGTTTATGTGCACTAAATGTCTGTTCTGATCACTTAAACTGGTTTATGTATAATCTCTGTCCCTAGCTGTGAAGTGACTATGCAGAAGTGTCTATTTTGGGCTGGAGAAAGTTTTTGGATCAGAGGTTCTTTTTGTGCTGTGCAGCAGTGATCAGGAAGGATTCTTGGAATGATAAGAGAGCTGATGCTCAGAGAGCTTGCATCTTAGGGAAGCGGAGGGCTCTTTGGTCCCACTAGATAATCTAAGACTTAGAAAAGAGGAGACAACAATTTTGGTTGGGGGGAAAGCTGGGTCTTCTGGGGCCATAAATGGGTGGAGGAAGAGGACCCTGGAATTTGGAGGTTTCTGGGGGGAGATTTAGGGCCTTAGTAGGTGAGAATAGAGCCAGGAGGCTGCCTTGTAAATAAAAGACTCTTGATGTTGCATTGCAAACTCCTGTTCGCTTAAATCTTTCATTTCATCATATCTCTGACTTGAAATTTAAGATGGCTTCTCTTTTTTTTTTCATGGTTCAATCTCCTTTACATTATGGTTTTACGTTAATTAGAAATTAATTTAATTGCATGTAGTTTGCTGTTTAATTTCTCTCTTAAATTTGTCCTGTTCCTTTTGACACGTGTTGGAAAAATGAATGCCTGCTTTTCTTTCCCATTGTGTAAGTTCTCTTCCTTTTTCTCCTCCCATATCAGCCTTTGATTTGGGAAGCCCCTGTGATTGATACTTGTGCTAATCCTCATGTCTGCCAAATGCAATAGAGCCCTTTCTTGCTTTTCTGGTTTCCTGTTTTCATTGCTTTTAACTCTTCAAAACTTTCATCACTTAGGCTGAAACTTTTGAGGCTTGCTCTCTGAAGGTCAAGGAGGACTTCTTTTTTTTTAAGTTTAACAAGTTGTGTGTGAAAGAGCAGATGATGGGTAGTCTAGTTTGAATAAGTTAAATATTTTACACTGGATAAAAAATACTTAGGTATAAGTTATACCTTTTGTTTTGGTAAATGGATCCATTTTATTGACATTAACATTTCCAAAATTAGCATTAAAATTTGCGTGTAGCTTGTTTGTATTCAGATAATGGCAAGTACAGTATGTTGCTACCACTGCGTAGCAATCCAAAGGTAACAAACCCCATTATGATCAATGTTGATGTGCCAGATGTGTGATTTGAACAGCCTTATTGAGCTGATGCATTGCACTGAATGATGTAGTTTGTGATTTGTTTCAGCTCTTGAAAGGTCACAGTATACCGCTGAGGATTACGCTAGAACTTTTTAGTATCTTTATATGGCTGACGTTCTGCTCTTTTTGTTGCCATTACTGTTTCTTTACAGATTTTCTAAACTTTTATAACCATGTTTTTTTTTCCCTTCTCCCCCACCTCCCAACAGGGTATGTTTCATAACAGAGATAATACATGTACATCTCTAATTCTTATTGCAAAGTCTTTAGTGTACTTGAAGCAAGGGATTTGTTTAGCTGTGGAAATGGCATTGTTGTATTGTCATTGTAAAATGTAATTGTTGTCTTGGTTCATACAGGATTAGGAAGAAAATACTGTACCAAAAAAACAGGTTATGGTTGCTTTTCATAAACATATTTGGATAATAATTGCTTTATTACTTGAAAGCATTACTTGTTCTCTGATGGCCAGACTCTTAAAGGTATTTAGGCAACTAATTTCTCTACCCTTAGATCTTGAGCACAGCAGTTGACTTATGTAAAAAAATAAATGTCCTGATCATTATTGGATCAGATATCTCTTGTCCTAGATAAATACATAAAAGTTGCAACTTTGGAGGAAAGATGTATATCTTATAATAATTTGATGATTAGTGCATGTTTGTAAATATTTTGCAAGTCAAACATTAGTTTATTCAAATAACTTGATAGGTATTTGGTTTTGAAATTAATTTTGTCTAACTTGGCAGAGACAGCCAGTTGGAGATTGTGATTTTAATGTTCGACTCGCATGCATAGAAAAAGAGATTATATTTCCACGACACGAAAAGATGAAGAATGGTCTTATTGACAAAGCACAGGAACCATTCAGTGTTCGAAACAAGCCATTTTTCGACATACACGCTGCAAGAAAGGTAAATTTGACCAAATTTAGATTTTATTCATATTGTTGTGCTGAAGACAGTAACTTTTAGATTTGTGTGCAGGCTTTCCTTTAGCCTACCTAACTTTTTTGCTGGGATTTGGGAATTGGAGTTATTCTGGATGTGGTCTGTATGGCTTTAATCTACCTGTTCTTTCATGTTTACCATATTCTCCCATTTAAAAACTGTTTACTTCTATACAAACCTCATGTTTTATTTCCTAATGCTCAGTTGTGGTGGCATTGCAGTGTTCGTTGGTTTAAATCTATGTGAGCTCCTGGGAATGTCTGAGAACTATACTGTTTACACCATCTCTGTTTATAGATGGTTATACCAGTGTTGTTTATGGATCTTTAGTTGGGAAGGTAAGAATCAGAAATAATACTTAAAATTGCATTTGAAATGAATTAATATTTTGCAATATTTCTAAACTGGTCAGCTTCTCCTCATGTTAATTTCTAAAATGCTTTTTCCTTGGTCTTCTAAGATAAAGCAGTTTACTTACAAACATGTTAGAGTTTCTATCTCTAACTGCACTTTCTAATCAGTGTAGGAATATGATATCCTTTAGTACATTTTTTAAATCCTTCCATGTTAACACACAGGTGATACTTATCTCTTCTAAAATATCCCATTTACACTCCACAGTACTATACAAATAGTCCCATGTGGTGCAAATCAGCATAGCAGAACATGTAGCTGCTCAACATTTAATCACCTCCTTCCATTTGCTTTTGTTGTTGTCTGGAAATTGAAGCAGGGAATGTGTATCGAACAAAGCATAAGTAACACACTTCTGACTAACAGGGAATGACTTATAAAACTACTATGTGGAGGCAACATGACTTTCAAAAACCATTCATTATAAATTGACAAAAACACAGCAGTAAAATGGACCACCAAAACTGAGTTTATCGTTGTGCAGACCATGTGGTATAAAAGTTTAACCAGTTCTCCTTTTAGTTTAGTCTTTTGGGATTTTTAAATAGAAACATACTTTAAATGACTAAGATAATAGTGCATAGAGACTTTAAATTCTGAATAAAATTTTCACAGGAAAAAAGTAATTTTGATTAATACATAATAAAGAGTTTATAATTGGTAGAAATGTGCTGATGCTTCAGAAGCCTTACTTTAGGCTTCACATTTTTTTAAGAAAGTAAGAAACAGTACCTGTTTAATAATTATATATTATGTTTTTAAAAAGTGGGTGTCCAGTGCAGTGGGACATATCTAATCACAGGAATTTGGCCTAAAGATAGAAAAAAGGGTGAGTATAAATGGTCAGTTTGTAGGCTGGAAGGAATTAAACAGCAGGGTTCTGCGGGGATCAGTATTGGGACTGGTGCTGTTTAATATTCATAAATGATCTGAAAAAGACGGTGAGTAGTGAGGTGGCCACATTTGCAGATGACACAAAATTATTCAAAGTGGTAAAGACCAAGTGGGCCTGCAAGGGACTACAGAAGGATCTGGCACTGTTGAGTGAATGGGTATCTAAATGGCAAATGAAATTCAGATTAAATAAGTGTAAAGTGATACACATGGTCACAACAAATAACCCAAACTATATCTACAATATAATGGTCTCTACATTAGTGGTTATCACACGGGAAAGAGATCTGGGAGTCAAAAAGGAAAATAAAATTCTAGGGATTATTGAGAAGGAAATTATGAACAAGTGTCCTTATACCCCTTTGTAATTCCATGGTGCATCCACACCTTCAATGCTATACCCACAAGCAGTGCAAGGGGAGGTTAAAAGTACAAACCAAAGAGGAAAAAAAAGGAGAGGGAAGCAGTCAAATTCTGACTCTGTATCAGAGCAACCTGTTGCAGCAGTGGCTGGGGTTGAGGAGTGATGCACTGTGGGCTGTCTGGAAGCCAGATCTGTGTTACAGGACAGTTAAGCTAGGGACACATTAAAAAAGACCAAGCCTGAATTGATTCAATCTTTGCAGGTTAGTTTAACCTGTGTAGATTGGACTGATTTGCAAGTGAATAGACATTCACTTTTGATTCCATAAATGCAGGCACATGCCTGCCGTGGCTCAGGCTAGAAGCCAGGTCTGCAGGGAAGCTGTCTGGGGGAGGGGGGCATGGCCAGGCCCTAGCAGCCCTGAGTATGACCCCCACCTGGCCTGCAGGGACCCCAGCTAGGTTGTGCCTGGAGGGGGAAGGGGGAAGCAGCCCTGCCAGAGGTTACCCCACCCCCCTATCCCCGCTTACTGCTCCAGCGGCATGAGCAGGAGCATAGCCAGACCCCAGTATTCTGAGGGGAAGGTGGGGTTTAATGCCCCCATTGTGGGGGTGGTGGTGGTGTGGGCACCAACAGGCTCCGCTCATGGACCTGGGGTCACAGCAACCAGACACCGATAGCCTGAGGGAAAGGCGTGAGTAGCGCAGGCACCGGCATGGCACTGGCTCTGTCCCACACTGAAGATCCCCTTAGGCAGAGCCCATGCCACAGCACCTGAACTGAGGCCCTTGGAGGAGAAGTGAGTGGCGCCCGACACTGAGGCGACGGGGAAGGGGGATGTGACCTGGCTTCAGGCATGGAGGGAGGTAGGGGGCAGCTGGGGCTAATTGCAGAACCTGACTCACTACTGTCTCCTGCTGTGGCAGTGTGGCCTGTGCTGGGGCAGCCCTAGGAGTGGGGGGCCAGCGCCCTCTGCTTTCAGCCCCACACGGGGGCTGCAGCTGGAGCCCCCCTCCCTCTTCCGGTGGTGGGGGAGCAAGCCATCATGGTGGACAGAGTTGAGGCACCTGTCGTCTGTTGCCTGCTCACAGTGGTGCCAGGTGCTTGGAGGAAGCAGCCATGGGCCAGTTGCTGCCCACACCATTGGGCCGCTGGGCCAGGGCAGACTGGGCTGCAGCGGTCCATTGCCTCTCCCTGCCACTGCCCGTGGCAGCCTGCCCTGAGCACCTGGTACCACCATGAGCAGGCAGCATGTGAGAGGTGCCTAACCTCTGCCTGCCACAGTAGTTCACTCTGCTGCTGCTGCAGGGAGAGGGAGTGGGGCAGGGAGCCATACTCCAGGTGCAGTCCTCTTGCAAACCACAGCCCCCATGGGGGGCAGGAGGTGGGAGGCAGCAGGTGCTGCCCCCCTGCCTCCTAGGGCTGCCCCAGCTCGGGCTGCACTACCACTGCTGGAGGTAACAGTGAGTTGGGCTCCATGATTAACCCCAGCTCCCCACCACCCCCCTTCCGCACCTGCGGTCCGGCTAGGGAGGAGAGGGGTTGGGCCAACCCTGATTGTCTGGAACAGACAGCCCACCAAGCCCAGCCCAGGACTGCCGAGCATGCTGGGATGTTGGGGGACTCTAACTTAAACCAGGAAGGGGTCTGGGACAGAAGTTCCATAAATCAGTTTGACCTCAATCATTTAAGTCTGATACTACATTCAACCAAGTTTATCTCAGAGTGGTTTCAGCCATTTTGAAACTGGTTTATGTGCACTGAACTTATGTTCTGTTACAGGTTTAAATCTGTTTCTGATCAATTCAACCAGCTTGTGTAATGTTTATCCCTAGTCTTAATGTCTGCACATAACACTGAACCCATTCACAGTCAATCAGTTTAAAATAGTACTTGATTTTCCAGGTACACTTGATTTTATAGGATACCCTTTTTATGCTATATTGCCCACTCTCCTTTCTTTCCCTCCTATCTGAGAACCACACTGAGGACTCAGGTAATACTTAAAAACAGCCCTCATCTTAGACTTCTGAAAAACAGTAAGAGTTCTTGAGGAGGAGGAGAGTCTCATTACTGTCATTTATCTTTTTTACTGTAACGAAAAGATGAAGCTGTCTACAGAATCGTAGAAAACTAGGGTTAGACGGGACCTCAGGAGGTCATCTAGCCCAACCCCCTGCTCAAAGCAGGACCATCCCCAACTAGATTATCCCAGCAAAGGCTTTTGTCTAGCCGGGATGAATCTCCATCCATAGAGGTTTTTAACAACCTCTCTGGGTAGCCTGCTCCATTGTTTTACTACCCTCCTAGTAAGAAAATTCTTCCTGCTATCTAACGTAAATTTCCCATGCTGCAACTAGGGACTGTTGCTCATTGTTCTGTCACCTGCCACCACTGAGAATAGCCTAGCTCTATCCTGTTTTGAACCAGGCTTCAGGTAGTTAAAGGCTGCTATTAAATCCCCTTATAGTCTTTTCTTCTCTAGACTAAATAAGCCCAGTTCCCTCAGCCTCTCTTCATAAGACATGTGCCCCAGCCCCCTCACCATTGTTGTCACCCTCCACTGGACTCTCTCCAATTTGTCCACATCCTTTCTGTAGCGTGGGCCCCCAAAACTGAACACAGTACTTCAGGTGTGGCTTCACCACTGCTGAATAAAGGGGAGTAATCACTTTCCTTGATCTGCTGGCAACACTCCTACCAATACATCCCAGTATGCCATTAGCTTTCTTGGCAATGAGGACATACTGTTGGCTCATATAAAGCTTATTGTCCACTGTAGCCACCAGTTATGCTGTGACTGGTTACGTCAAGGAGCTTTAGAATTGTATTTATCTTTTACCACTGAAAACTCCCAAGTATCAATCCAGAAAAGTAGGTTCTCTGTTTAATTGTTCACATGCAGTCTTACTTGTTTCACCCCCGTGAACTTCAGCCAGAGACTTTGTCTTACCAGTATCTGTTGCATGTGCTCTAGCCCTCCACTTATATTTCTCCCATGCTCAGGGTTATATAGATCAGCACAGACTTTCTGTTCCTCAGTTCTTCTTTACCCCTTGGCTGAGTTGGAGCATTTCTTTTTTTGCAGACTGCACTTTGCACGGTTTTGTTTTAATTTTTATTGACCTATTGCTTTATTGTTCATTATTTATCTTATTGTTTTTCTTCCTCCACCATAATCTTTTTGGGGAGAGAAGGGGGAAGGTTTCAGTTTCTGGGTTGGAGTCTTAACATCTGTCTTTTCCCCTCTCCTCCATAGTTGCTTTTAGCTGCACCACAAGGCCATGCCCTT